GAAGCCAAAGCATATGTACTAGACAAAAGGTTAATACCATCAGCCAGAACTTAGGGGATGCATATTATTCCATTATTCATATTGACTGTCACCCTAATATCCAGTTACAGCAGAATGTGGCTTGCTCTCAGTGTGAGGAGACTGTCCCATGAAAACAGGGTCCTGAGTTCTGACACTGAAGACTGGAGGTGGTGTGTACTAATACAATGTGAAAGACATGCCAGTCTTAGGAGCTACTAATGGTAAAACAATGCATGAAGGGTTTGTCTCGCTGGTAAACGTGTTTATCAAGTGGTTCTTGCATATCAGAAATATGAAACCTCACAAAGGGTATCTACAAAGTAGTCATTGTCTTTAATTTACTTGCTACTAGATTAATTTCATTTTTATGGATCAGATCAAAAACTTTCCATTTCATTTATTACGTCCAGGGGCACCAACCTGACTTGATACTTTTTTTTCCTCCTTACCTGTATGCAATGTTTTGTATGTATGCAGGCAAGAGTTTAAAGTGAGAATTACAGATGAAGAGAACCAGAATACCTATATATGACAAAAAAACATACCCCCCCCTCCCCAAATAGTACCTAGATTGCCTGGTTCAATCTATCCTGGCCTCAACAGCTGACCAGAAATAAAACTGGATTAGACTTACTAACTCTGTGGTTTACTTTCATAAGGGAAAACATTATTTTTGATAGAAATTCATATTAGCAGCCTTTTTATAGGAGTAGATTCTTACAGGAAAACTCTTAACTTCCTGGGATAATGCATTCAGATGAGCTGTGCCTCACTGTGCTTCAAACATACATGGCTGTACTTCCAAGTAAACCAGGCAACTTTTAACAGCACATCTGTGGCCATCTGTAAACTTTAACTGATACCTATGGCAAATGGTCCTACGTAAATTGCAGTTCTGTACAACCACAGGACTAACAAGTCATTTCAATGCAGAATAGCGTAGATGCTCTGTGTTCCAACACTCATAATTTATGCAATCAGAATGGTTCCCCTGTATTCAAATTAGGGCAGAAGGTTTGGCTTGCAGTAAAATACTACTGCTACCATAAAATCATAGTCTACTGGTAGCTGCCAGATCTAAATAATAGTTGTTCAAGTGCTGGATTACAGTAGTATCAATCTGTCTCTTTACACTCTTGTCAAGAGCAGTTATTGCAAAGCTCACCGAATGGATGCCTAAATATTAATTTATATTCTAAAATGTTTATCTAATTTCAAGTCCTTCACAGAAAGACTACTGTGTTATCTTCATACTCCTTTTTAAACATTCACAACACAAAGTATCCTGAAGCCTCCAGGCTGTCTCAGGAAACACACGTCCTGCAGTATCCTGATCAATTTTCTCCCAGTTATGACTTCTCCTCTGCGCTGTATTTTTTCATTCACCCTGGTGTATGTAGCCTTCCTTGCAGCACTGCAAGGGGAGCTGGCAGGGATCCAGGACAACCTGTCAGCACAAGCAGCAGGGAGGTGATGAGTCAGCAGAGGCACTGTGTATCTTTGTGCTCTGCTGCAGCACCGACAAGGCTTGGCTTTGACCTTGAAAAGCGTCCACAGCTCCTGCTCATCCTTATTCTGGTGAAAGGGAGGATGTGTCCTTCAGTGAACCTGGAAATGTGGAGCTGCCCTACAGAAGCTAATAACCCAAGGAACAAGAGGCTCAGTGTGATCTGAGGATTATGTGAGGCTTAACCTGAGAACAAGGCTGGCAGTTTTGTAAAGCAATTCAGTAAGAACCATCACATAAACTGCAGTGTTAAATCTATTTTTAAATAGAATAATTTCACTGCTTTTGTGCCACGCTGCATTCAGTACATTCCCAACGTTATAGCTGTACACAGAAAAATTCAGCAGCTGCTACATACACTGTGGTTACATAGAATAAGACAAAATTATCTAGGATTGAGAAATAAGATGTCCACAATGAAAGGACATCAATGTGGCCACTCGTGTATTCAGGTACTTTTGTCTTCATTTTTATACTGCTTTTTTTTAAAAAAAAGCATTTAAATGGCTCCCTCTTGTGTCAAGAGAAAGGCAGTATCATTTTGGCAAAAATCTAGTCCTTGAGCAGAAGTGAGATTTTATCTATGTTTGTACTGCAGAGGCTAGTTATCAGTATGTTGTGGTGACTGAGGAGGCTGAACACGTGTATCCCTTCTGCTTAGGTGCGCTCTGAAACCACCTAAAATAAGGAACATAAATAGTTACCTTTCAGCTGCACATGATGGAGGGTAGGGAATAATAGCTCGTGAACCATATGTATTGCATCCCATCTAATTTGCTAATGCAGTCTGGACTAGATAGATATCTTGGCAATCCCTGTCCTTAGAGATATTTAACATCTCAGCACAATATCTGGATCAGTGTAGCTTAGCTTACTTGTGGTGTTTTTCACAGGTGAGCAAATCTTCACCTTGTAAGGGGTGGGAGGAAAGCAATGAACTCTGACAGAAAGCTCTGAGCATGAAACAGTCAGTAAATGGCAGTGAGGAAGGAAAAACCTGATTTCAACAACTTGCAAGTCTTCTTTCCTTCTTTCTAGTACCTGCTGGCTGATAAAGTTTATTGTTCTGGCTTTTGAATCATGAAAGCTTTTCCCACAATAATTCATATCCATGAAACTCTGAAATTGAAAACTGAGAGGGTTGATTTTTGGGGTTTTTTTTGCATAGCATGGAGCATACTCTGGTTGCTTTGGATATTAAGCACTAATCTTGGAAATGAACATAGAAGAGGAAAAAGTCTTGCTAACCTCAAGAGGCAAATAAAATGTATCAGGAAATGTGTGTGTATACGCAGGAAGTATCTACAATAGCTTTTGAGAAAGCAGGTCTGAAAAGCTTTGTTTCAAGGAAGCATGCTTCAGTTCTGTAGTTTCTCACAAAATCTCTTATTGTAGTTATAAATTAACAAAAGTTTTAATTTGAGTTGCACTATATACATACACACATAAGAGTATTTCAAAAATCACATTTTATCCTAAGTATGGCCAAACACTGGCAACTGTTAACCAATAATCTAGTGGCTGGGGTACCTGCCTGGAAAGTGTAAGAGACTGGGATTCTCAGATGGAGAGCATTTTGTATCCTCCTCTCTGGATTATGCACTTTTTTCTTTCCTGGGTTATTTTCAAACTGTGGGCTGCTCTAGAAGAGAGGTGCTCTTGGAGTCTTTAATAGCTTGTGTGGAGAAAAGAATAAAAAAAAATTTTGACTGATAAATAAAGCTCATGAGCTGTATGTTCAGTGGTAAAATCACTCCAAGTTAGGTTTTAGATACCCAGCACCAGCACTAAGTCAGCGTAGGAGTATTTTTCTAGTCAGTTTGCATTCCTTCCAGTGCCTTGTGAGGTACTGGCATATCTAAAATGGGGGCCACTACAAAATTACTTGATGCTTACTTTACTTCTGTTTCAATGCTGTAATGCAAAATATTGTAAGAGGCAGAAGTCAATCTCTTTAAAGGCAGAAAACCTTGAAAAGCTGCTGTTTTCTTGACTCAAAGTAAAGGTAAATGCTTTCATGCTGACCTTATTGACTTGCTTTTCCTTTGGGTGACATTTCTCCTAGCCTCCATTATTGCTAAGGTTTTGTAGAGTAGAAATTATGAGGGATACTCATAATTTAATTCTATGAAGCATTTCCCAAAGAAACCTCAGGCTAGTACTCTTGACACTTTGCAGAAAAAAAAAAATTAGGTTTGTGGCTTCTTAGTAAGCTTTTGTGCCTCATTTCTGCTTAACCTCAGGCAATGAAATGTAAATCGTTAAACAAGGTTTGGATGTGAAATTTAATATTCCTTCCTTGTGCATGCAGGATTTTGCTAAGCAAACAACAGGTATGCTGTTTTAAACAGTAATTTTTCCATCTGAGAAAGGAGACTTTGATGCAGACTTTGTTCTGCATCTACATCATAGCAAACCTCGCTGTTGTAAGTACAGGCAGTACTATCCATCAGTCAGGACCAAGTTTCCTGTGAGTTGTGTGTAACTCTTACAAGTGAGTGCTGTAGCCTGACTTAACATCATCGAGCTTTTATGTGAGTCATACAGCTGTCAGGAGGCTGAAACGCACTGCAGCTTATTCCAAGACCTAAGCTAACAACCTTTACCAAAGCAAATATTTACAGCCTTAACAGACTGCAGGATAAAAAGATCTAATGGTATTTATTTATGCCACACATGCATCTTTCTCTCTGGTAGGCACTGTGAGTTCACCAATTCCTGTAGCTTAATGTTTCTTTAATGTTTCTTTAAATAAACTCACTGCGATCTCGCTTACTGAAACAAAAAAAGTGAGGGTTTATATATAACCAGCTTCCTACTGCCGCCTCCTGCGCCGCTGGCGTTGCGGGCCCTCTCCCATGTAGAGCGAGCGCTGTAAGCGGATGTTGCATAATGTGATTATGGGCTGCTCTGAACTTGTGGCATATTACACACGGCTGCCTCCGCTCTTTCACTGAACACAAGCTGTGATGCTGTTTCCATATTCCTGGCAGCTGCCAATTGCTAAAGCAGAAGATTAGGGAATTGGGCCTTTTTTTTTCATTTGTACTGAAAACTTGTATTGCTTCCTCTCTCTTATGCTTTAGAGATGATTACATTTCAGGTCGTCTCTTCCTCTGTGTGATCCCAATACACCGCCCTAACCCATATTCCAGGAATTTGCACGTATATGTAAGCAGGATTTAAAAAAAAAAATCAGCCTCCAAAGCATATCCATGCGATCTATCTACCGCTGAGGGAACATGGCGGTGAGCTCCCGACGTGTGTCCAGCACCAGCCGTATTCGCCACCCGGGGTGAACTGCGCCCCTTGCCGTGCCCCGTCTCTGCCCCCGTTCGCCGCTGTGGCGGCGGTGCCAGAGCCGGGGCTGCCGGCGGCCCCCGCCCCTCAGAGCCCCTCACGCTCCCTGGCGGCCGGCGCGCGGGGCCGGGGCTGCGCAGGCGCGGGGGCGCGCGGGATGCGGGCGGCGGGAGCGCATGGCAGGTGGCGGGAAGCGGAGGCCGCGCGGCGCGGCGGGAGCGGCCGGAGAGCAGGTGGGGCGGCGGGACGCGGGCCTGCGCCGCGCGGGTGCCTTGGGATGCGTGTCGGCCCTCTGTCTCCTTGCCCCGCGTTCTGTTTTGCTCGGTGGTTTTGGGGACAGAGTCAGGGCCCCGCGTTCTCCTGCGCGGCAGCCGCTCCTCGGCGCGGGGACCCGCCGGCCGCCGCATCATCCCGGCGGGACCGCGCCGCGAGCGGCGACACGCGCCGCGAGCGGCGACACACGCCGCGACCCGGCTTGCCTGGCAGCGGCCCTGTTTCGGAAATGCTCTCTTTAGCAACAGGCTTGCTTTCTTGTTCTAGTTGATTTATTTATTTTTTTATGTTCTTTCAAATGGGGGTAGCGATTCCTACCAGTTCGTGGAGACTTGTATGGGAATGCGGTGATTGAGGCTGCTGCCCCAGTAGAGTGTGCCCGTGGATCGTTTCCTAGCCTGCTTCAGCTCACGTTACGTAATTTTTAAAAGCAACTTCACCTCTCAGCTGCTTCTAAAGTGCTGCCCTGGAAACTGCAGTAGTCGTGATGTTGCACAGCACAGTAGTTGAAATAGTAGAGACCAGAGGAGTTTAGCTGTATTATTTAGACAAAATTGTATTCCTACTTTGAACTGTCTTTAAAACACACAAACATATTGTATGCTGCCCACAGTCTGATTAGAAATGGTCATTTTAGAGCAATGAAAAATTAGATTAAACTGTAGGATTGCCTGGTCCTTTGCTTAATTAACTAACAGAAGTGCTTCTGTTGATTATATTGACCCATTAATATCAGAGTAGCAGTTTGCTGCTGCAGACATGTTTAGTGCATTTGTCAGACTGCACTTTTAATGGATTCTGTCCAAAACAGATGTTTTACGCTGTATATATACTGCTTTAACTAATGAACACGTCCTAATGGATCTAATCCTTGTTCTTCCATTAAAATAAAAGTTTTGTAGACTCCTTTGGTAGAGCTGAGAGAAAACAACTAAATTAACTTTTGGGTTGGATTTTTTTTTCAATCTACAGAGTGAAAAAAATGGAGCTGTCAAGAAGAGAAGATCAAACCAGGCAGATATTCCTGATAGTCTTTACCAAGAAGCAGAAACATGCTATCAGCTTAGACTGCCTGAGGACTTCTACCAGTTTTGGAAGTTTTGTGAGGAGCTAGATCCTGAGAAACCAAGTGGTGAGGTTTTAAATTTTGCCTCTTTTAACTTTCACTCCTGAAAGCAGGCAAACAGGAGTTGGTCAGATGCATTTCAGTGAACCTGCAGCTTCTCACTTGAGATGGAGGATATCTACGTGAGTGTGAACTAAAACTGGCTATAATCACCAAGATGTACACTTCAAGCTTTCTAAAATGTAACTACTGAAGTTGTGCCATGCAAAGGGACTAAGTGTGGCCTCAATCTGCCTTTCTCACAGGTGCATTTAAAATGTTTAGTATGGAGCTCAAGTTTCCTCATGTATCATGGCTTAATCCCAGTCAACAACTAAGCACCACACAGGCACTTGCTCACTCCCCCTTGGTGAGAGAGAATTGAAAGGGTGAAGGTGAGAAAACATGTGGGTTGAGCTGAAGACAGTTTAATAGGGAAAGCAAAAGCCACAAGCAAAGCAAAACAAGGAATTAATTCACCACCTCCCATGTGCAGGCAGGTGTTCAGCCATCTCCAAGAAAGCAGGTCTGTGTCATGCTGAGCATGATGCCATATGCTGTGGATTATCCCTTTGGTCACTTGGGATCAGCTGTCCCAGGTGCATCCTGTCTCAGCTCCTTGTACAGCCACAGCCTCCTTGCTGCTGGGATGAGAGGTTGAAAAGACTCAGTGTAAGCACTACTAAATCTGGGTTTCAACCTCTCAAGTTTATTACATAACAGAATGTGGCATTCCTCTGTGCTTTAGAAATGACAGTGTCTTTCAGAGTCAGAATGGTTTGGGTTGGAAGGGACCTTTAAAGGTGATCTAGTCAAACTCCCTGCCCTGAGCAGGGACATCTTCCACAGAGCCAGGTGCTCAGAACTGGGTCCAGCCCAGCCTTAAATGTTTTTAGGTCATCCACTGTGTCTCTGGGTAACCTTGTCCAGTGTTTCACCACCTGCATCATAATGCCTTTTTTTTTTTTTGTATTTAGCCTGATTCTACCCTGTTGTAGTTAAGAGCCATTACCCCTTGTTCTCTTGCTACAGGCCCTGCTAAAATGTTTATCCTTACCTTCAATACCTAAAGTACTGAAAGGCTGCAGTAAAGTCCCTGGAGCCTTTTGGTCTCCAAAATGAACAATCAAAGCCCTCTCAGCCCATCTCTATAGGAGAGGTGCTCTAGGCCTCTTACCATCTTCATGACTCTGTTCTGGACCCACTCCAGCTGGTCCCTGACCTTGGTGTGCTGACAGCCCTGGAGCTGGATGCAGCCCTGCAGGTGGAGTCAGAGCAGAGCAGAGGGGCAGAATACCTCCCTGGCCCTGCTGCCCACCCTGCTTTGGATGCAGCCCAGGACATGTTTGGCCCTCAGGGCTGGGGGTGCCCATGGCCAGGTCATGTCCAGCCTCTCACCCACCAGCACCCCAAAGCCCTTCTGGGCAGGGCTGCTCTCCATCTGTTCATGCCCAGCCTGTGTTGACACCAGGGGTTGCCCCAACCCAGGTGCTCAACCTTCCAAGACCACTTGGTCTTGTTCAACCTGAAGAGATTCCCATGGGCCCAATTCTTGAGGTTGTCCACGTCCCTTGGGATGGCATCCCATCCTTCAGGAGTGTCACCTGCACCCCTCAGCTTGGTCATCTGCCAAGTTGCTGAAGTTTGCTGATCCAGTCTTGTGTAATTGATAAAGATGAATATTAAACAATACTGGTTCCAGTTCAGAGCCCTGAGGGAGACCACTCGTGACCAATCTGCATCCTGACATTGGACTGTGGCTGGATGGCTACTTTTTATTAGAATTGTAGTAACTCTTGAATGAAAACTATCTGGACAAAAAATTCTTAGCTTTCCTTGTCTAGTGAGTAGTGTTTGACTGAATTTATGGGAACTTTCAGTACCTGAGCAACACCAGAACTTCCCGGTCTAGATGTGCACGTGATTCTTGGTTTGCTTTTCAGATGCACTTGTGTCAAGTGTTGGACTTAAGCTGGTTGGACCATATGATATCCTTGCTGGAAAACACAAAAAAGCAAAATCAACAGATGTGAACTTCAATCTTCATTGGAGATTCTTCTATGATCCCCCAGAATTTCAGACTATACTTGTTGGGGATAGCAGAACACAGTATCACATGGGATATTTCAGGTATTTTATTTCCTGTGTGCCCTTGTTCCACTACAACTATGCATAGCTTTTGTTCTCTTTTTCCATGAAACAGAACTTGTGTGCTATCACCAAGCAAGAGTCTTTCTTTTTTGTAGTAAGACATTAATACGTGGCTTTATCTTTTTAATAAAAAAGTTTGCAATAACAGGAGTTGAAGACTAGATTTAAATATTTATTAATCTACCTCCTCCAGCCATCCAAAGCACCTTCACTCACTAATCTTTAACTTTTGCTGTGTTGCTAAGAAAAAAATCAAGTTACCAAAAGGAAATGTGTGGATGCAAGTTCTTTTCAAGGCTTGCTGTAAGATTTTAGAGCTTTAGATCTAAGGGCATTTCTTGGTGGGGTTTTGAAGGAGATGGCAGCATGGTGAGGAGGCAAATTTAGTTTTACTTTGAAATCGGAGAAATGGACACAGCTTGACTATTTTGTGTGTGCTTTTTCATCAATAGGGATGTGCCAGATGAGCTGCCAGTGTGGGTTGGTGCAAATGAAGCAAAGAAGGGTTGTGTGATTTCACAAGTTGGTGATAATGTCTTTGCTGCAGTCAAGTAAGGTTCATATTTACTTTTATTTACAAAGAGCAGAATAGAGAGAAATTGTTAATTGGGAGGTGGGATGTGGAATAACAAAGCTAACTTATTATATGGCTTTCTTAAGAAACCCTCACTTATTTTCTGCCGCTGTTGGCAAGTTTTAAGATTCTCTCTAAAGCCTTTGTAGGCTTTTTAACAATGTTTTCCTTTCAAAACTAAAATAAATAAGTGTTAATTATGTCATTTCTTAAATATATTGGCTGAGACATCCAGTGGATATTTTTTTGCAATTTAGAGGCTGTGTTAAAATTGTTTTGTAAGTAGAGAAAGGGCATCTCAAATAATGGTGAAGGAAATCTGAGTATCATAGTAGATAATAGCATCTGTCTCTTGTTCATGTCTAAATAAAAATACATTATTTTTGTATATAATCAATATCTACAAGAAGTACTATTTCTGCCCTGTGGCAGGATAACACTGATGTGGATCTGTAGTTCAGTCTGATTCAAGGAACTTTACATGTTCCTGTGTCAGGAAGGTAAACAGCTGACCTCATCCCTGCTGGTTAAAAATGGAAAGCTCTCTAAGAACAGGCACGTGTCATCAGTGAAAGCAGACTGAAGAATGCTTCTGTGAAAGAACCCTTGTGCACTGCAGAGTTAAACGAGGACATGTGTTTTGAAAGTACCATGGGGAAGCTCATAAATATGTATTTATGTGCATGACTTGGATGACAAATGGTGTATATAGCACAGAAAGAGCAAACTGAATTCTTAAGATAGAAAGATGAACAGTTACTGAGGCTAGAGATCCTTGAGCACCTGCAGATTGCATAAGCTAGATTGTAATGCAGGTACAGATGAGAAAAGCCCAAGTACTGGATATGCCAAACTATTTTCTGGCCTCTTCTTAAGAGGCTTGCATTTTCAGTTCTCTGTGTGATTAAACACAGGACTGCTAATCTTTGTTGTTAAGGATCTAGAGGTTTAACATTTAAAAGGCTATTAATTTTTTTTTTGTTTTCTTGACATGTTTCATCTATTTTCAGATTATTTTTGTCAAAAAAACTCAAGGAAGTGGCTGATAAAAAGAAAAATGCTGTTTTGAGAGACATAGATGAAAAGCTAACAAGAACAGCAAAAGAACTGGGTTATTCTCTGGAACAAAAAACCCTGAAGATGAAACAGAGAGATAAGAAAGTATGACTTTCCTCATCTACTGGAGAGAACTAAGTTCTGTTAAATTTTTTTTCGTTTACTTCCTGTTTGTGTTTTTCCATCCTTCTAGTCAGTAAGGATGCTACGTTAGGAATTTCCCAAGGTAATCAGCTCTCTATAAAGCTTCAAAAGAGGGAAGATTACTCCAAATGTGTTCCAAACAATAGGATTTAATAAAAACACTTTAATCATAGCTTGGCATTCAATTGAAAATGAAACAAGAACAAACCACCACCAAAAACAACTCAGTTAGCACAGTAGTCAAGAAACTGGAACAAATAGAGGCCATGGAGAAAACTGCTTTAAATGGAAGATTGTTCTAAATAGTTGGGTTGGATCTGTTAAAAGCGGGACCATTAAAGACGATATAGATGATAATAACAGAGATTTTTTCATATCTGTTAAAAATAATTACGGTAGGGGACTAAGCAAATGCAGTACAGTGCAACACAAGTGACTGCAAGGGTTCCTAGAATTCAGAATTTCACTGAAATGGCATTTCCAGTTATTTCAAACTTCAGTACTTGAAATTAACTGCAATATAATTTGAAACTAAGTTGACGTCCTGGAGCCAGGACACCATGTTAGGTGTGACCACCAGCAGTCAGATGTTAGTGTTTAATGAGGTGAGTTGCTTTTAGGGCACAGTACTGTCTCATGGTGCTATGTTCCATTTTCTGTCTCTCTGTTCAGGTGGTGACCAAAGCATTTCATGGAGCAGGCCTAGTCGTTCCTGTAGACAAAAATGATGTTGGATACAGAGAACTTCCTGAAACAAATGGTAAACATGTTGTTTACTGTATCCCTCTGCTTTTTTAAAGTAAACAACCCTCAGTAAAAAACCAACTGCGTTCATGTTTTCTACTTAAAAAATTTGACTGATCGAAGTAAAATGTAGAAGTCCTAACCATTGCTCTTGACCTCAAAGTATTGTCATTAAAGGAACCAGATGAGACTCAATGAAAAATGCTAAATCTGTGAAAATACCTCAAGTAGTAGTTTAGATGATCTTTTCTTTTGTGTTGTCAAAGCTATGCTGGAAGTAGATCAAAAAGCTGATCTACATTCAGGGATGTGTGGGCTTATCTCTTATCCACCACCTTCTTCCAGTGTCATTTTAAGCAGAATCAGTTCCTTGATGAGATTTCATCACACAAGTGCTTGTCTCCCTTTGTGAGGAACTGAGAGGGATGGCATGGGGCAAGAATGAGCTTCCAAGGAAAGGGGGAAGCTTCACCAGCAGTTCAGGGTGTGCCCACTTACCTTATGTGTGAGTGTCATGGTTTGAGCCTGGCACAGAGCCAGTGCCCCCCATGGCACATGGGTATAGTGCCACGGAATACTTCTGTGCAATATTAAATTTATTTACTTAAACATCTAAATATCTGCTTTTGGTTTTTTGCAGCTAATCTTAAAAAAATTTGCAAGGCCATTGTTGATGCTCCAACTGATGAGGAGAGAGTGAAGGCCTTTGCACCCATTCAGGAAATGCTGACCTTTGTTCAGTTTGCTAATGATGAATGTGATTATGGAATGGGGTATGAGCTGGGCATGGACCTGTTTTGCTATGGATCACATGTGAGTAAATTAATGCATAATTTTATACATGGCCTAGAAGTTGTTCTGCTGTAGATTAATTATCCCTGGGAAACTAGAGGTCTGCAAGAATGTTCTTAATTCATGAAGACTGTTAAAAGTCACACAACATCATTCCACGTTGAATCTAAAATTGTGTGTGTGAAGGCCCAATCCTGCAGTCCACAAGTGGAGTGTGAAGTGCCTGATCCAAGGACACTGAACAGCTGGAGTCCCTTGTCCCCAGCTACTTGTATAGGCACCCATATTCAGGCTGATCAGGGAACAGCCTGGTGCTGTAGTAAGCCCAGCTGGAAGAATGTGAACCCAGGTGAGCTGCCTGCCTGTACTGCACAGGGCACCTCCCACCTGGAGCCTCCTCCCCAGTTCTGTGCTAACAGGGAATGTTGTCAGTGAGGGCATTGAATGAATAGCAGTTACTGCACATAAAAATTATGCTTAATGATTTTTGTGCTGTATTAGCTACTGGCCTGCTGATGAAAAGGGTTATGGCTGGAATTAGTCAATGGCTAGAAAATTAACACATGAAGTTTCAACATCTACCTAATATGAATGGATCATCATAGAAACCCCTGCAAAACACTTGCTCCTAGCAAAACTATTATTGGCTAAGTGGTGCTCCAGAGTATCGTGGGAAGGATTAAGTTTTTCGGTACTAAATGTAGACCCAAAAGAGCTGTGCTGTCTACTGGTTAAAATACTTAGCCATTGAAATGTATCAAAACTGACTGCTCTTGCCATACACTGTTAAATTAGTAATGTGTTTCTTAGACTTAATGCCCTGCTCTCTTAAGTTCCATACAGCATCTGAAAATGTGTGGCATTTTTCTTCAAAATCCTGCTCATTTAGAGCCCTTCTTTCTGACTAGGCTGTTTCAGCTGCTTACATCCTTTTTACAACTGGAAGGGCAGTGAAGGAAACTGCTCTTCCCATTTTTCTGAGTAGGTGGAGGCAAATACTCATCTTCCAAGCTTTGTGCTTCTCAGCACATGACACTAACCACTGACAAAGTCCTGCAGTGAAAAATTGTGTTTACAGTACTGTAATGTCTCTTGTCTTGTGCTGCAGCTTGGAACACCTGTAACTTTGCAACTGGTTTCTAGAATTAGAAACCTTCATCTTCTAGTTTAGTAAATAGAAGAAACAGTGGCTTCACACATAAGTTTTGCTCAGTTAAGTCCCTGCCTTTCTTGGAGCTCCTACTTGGAGCTGTTTTCCAGTTCTGACTGGAGCCTTCCTGGCCATTTGCTTACAGAGCCAGAGAAACACTGACACTTTATCTGCAGCCCAAGACGTAGAAAAGAACTTGAATCGTCCCCTTTGTTTGAGAGATACAATGGACTTACATGTACAATAATGATTGCAGATGCTAAATATGCTCTGATATTTATACATTTCAAGTTCTTAAATGGTTACTGTAAGTACCACTGTAATCCTCAAACTGCGGGGTGGGATGAGACATGGGACTGTGACAGGATAGGGGACTTCGCCTGCAGGCTCCAGTTTGGGATGCTGTGGTGAGCGGGATCATCATCTGCTCGATTTCTCTCTCCCTGCGGCAGCCCGGGCACCCCGCCTGCCCTTCCTGTGGCTCTCCCGGGTGTAGCATGAGGGAGGATGTGCTCAGGCATTTTGGGAGGGGTTGAAGGGCGCGGTGTGAATGGGGCAGAGCCAGGAGTGCTCCCGGAATTAACCAAGCCACTGAGGCCGAGGGCGGCTCTTGTTTTCGCTTCTCCCCTGCAGTACTTCCACAAGACGGTGGGCCAGCTGCTGCCCCTGGCTTACACCCTGCTGAAGAGGAGCCTCTTTGCCGAAATCATCGAGCAGCACCTGGGCAGCCGGCGGGAGGAGGACCTGGATCAGCT